AAATCTCGCCTGTCCTTTGTCCCTCCTTTGTCTGTTCTTTGTTGACCTAAGGACCTTTGTAGGCCTTTTGTATTTGACATTGCAGCCTTCGGACCACATGCCTCGGAGGCACCTGGAATCCAGGTGCCTCGGCTTTTGCCCCCGGTGTGAGTGTGGGTGTGGCGCCGTTGACACATCCCCGAGTTTGTGGCATCACTGATACTTTCTCTTTAGGGCGGATGCCTTAGACCAGTACGAAATCCGACGAATTTGTACAGTAGAAAAAAAAACCCTGTGGACGCTGCAAACAAGGCTCAGTCCCGAGTTGAACGGGTGTTCCGCTGTAGCTTTGGACAACTGTCATATAATACATCGCGAATGCACATCAGCGCCACTGAGCGTTATTTCTGTTTTGTGTGTTCCCTCTCTCATGCGCAAGTTCTTGTGCCGACTAACGGGTCGATTTTTAGCGTTCTCAGATTACATAGCACCTGGAAGTGAGACAATATTCACGAGGCAAATTGCTAGTTCTACTCGAACGCTTCCTGATCACACCTTTCTCACAACCTCCCAGACATCACCTGTGTTGAGTCAGAAAAGAAGTCTTTTGCAACCACAGAAGCAGGGCTTTCCGCGCTAATCCTTCCTCAGATGGACGATTTCCGGGAGAAGCCAATCAATGACTTGATTTAAGAGTGCAGTTCAAGTTTAGCTTAGGCAGATCACGACGCGAGTTCAACCTCAACGCTGTCCTCGCGCGTTTTCCTTTCGCACTTGGCGCAGGCACAGACCACTTTTGCAAGCCAAAAATGGCACTCTCACATGCAGGGCCTTCTTGATCATTCCCTCCGAGCCTATATACGTCGTTCAAAACTTTGTTCTTTGTTTGTTGCTACTAATTTTTCCACAGTGTGTACGAAGACCCCACTCGCCTCAGTTCTCATTGATGCATCCATCTCCGGCTGCAGCATCGCACAAGTCAGCGTTGAACGAGAAAATTTGAGCTGACGCAACGACGTACCGCCGGCGATGACGTTGAACGGCGCGCTTGTAACGGTGTGCAGGCCGTTTGCCTCGTCATCCGTGACCTCGAGGATGAGAGATTGCCCTGGAGCCATGCAGCTGTTAGTCCGGCATCCACAGACTGTGTATTATAGTTCCAAACCAAGGGTGGCATTGACGATCCAGGTGAGACTGTTGCCGGTAACCAGCCCGAAGTCAACGAGGGGCATCGGCTGGATGGGGTTGGTTTGAACGCTGGTGAACGAGCATGGTTAGCGTGGGGAATCTCGTGCAACACACGTGCATACGCCTGAGAACAAGAAGAACATCAGTCAATCGCGATCCCGAGGACGATCCAGGAAGTGACTTACGACAACGTAAGGGGCTGCCAATCCCAACGTTAGATAAGTACTTGAGGAACGAGCAAAGAAGCAGACGCACGGATTCCACCGGACCAAGTGATCAGCAAGGGTTCGCACTGAGCTGTGGACATATTTAGTGGTGCCAGAAGGGAGGCGACTGAGCATGAACGTACCTGCGCCGCCAGCGCTGCGCGGGAAGCGTCAATTACGGGAGCAAGGGAATGGAGATGGGAGACGGCGCACGGGGTGTTGATTTCCAGCGGCGCACGAGACGTAACAGCGGCGCTGGTACCGAGAGCTGCTGCAAGGAGGAGGAGGAAAGACTGCATATCTGATGGGCGGATGAGCATCCCTGGCCCCGCACGATGGTATTTATACCAATGGCCGGGGACTTGAAACCGAGTTTTGACTGGTGCGGTCCGACCCGCTTGTGAAATGGTCTCGCCGAATTATTGCTGCATTCAAATGCCATAACTAGTGCCAGAAGAAACATCGCTAAGACAATACCCGCGGGCGCTAAAACCCGCAGATTCAATCATGAGCGCGGAGGAGTCTGGAGGAATTGCTGTAAACGACGGGTCAACCACGTACAATAACTTGAAGATCATCACATTCACGGGCAGCGCGTTCTTTAACCAGGAATTTCGACGCGACATGGAATCTCGACCCTACATGCCTGCGGAAGAAGCACGAGTATTGAAATTTGACACCGTTGCCACTAACGCTTGGAAATATCAGTGATTTCGGAGCGCTTGCCTACCGCTGCATAAAACAGAGCGGCGTGTTCAGACCGAGGTGAGCAACTTTTCAATTGACGCGGATTTTTGGAGAGCTGTTCACGTATTCAAGCGGCGTCATGTTTTTCTTCCTGATCCGTCCCGACGAACGGGTAGAAGAATCGAAATTCAAGAAGCAGAGCCGGTCCATCACCGTAGGTCCTCCATGGTATTCACTGTTGAGTCGTACTTCGCTCTGTTTAACTGAATCTGTGAATGTACACGATGAGAAAAAAAACTATTGCTTTTCGTGTACTGAATCGAACAGGTGTTCCGCTGGGTCGCCACCTTACGGACACGTGCCAGCGCTACTTGGCTCATTTTCTATCGCGGAGATGAACAAATCATGATACAACACCTCACAGATGCGTATCCGCCCTTGTTACAGTGCACAATAGTGTTTTTCATTCACGACGTTTGAGAGCACACAACAAAAAAATCCCGCAAACCGTGGCCCAGCCCCGAATCGAACAGGTACTTCACTGTAGTTTTTGGAGCTTGTCGCACGTCGACGTCGCGGATGCGCACCAGCATCACTGAGCCTCGTTTGTACTTTGTGAACCATGATCTGAGCCCCTAACTCGCGGCGGCAGCCGAATTGAAACCCCGCCGTCAGATTATGCAGTGCCAAACAACACGCCTCCTCTTCCCCATTCCACTCGGATGGATTCAGGCCCGGAGCAAGATGAGCGCCTGCCCGCGCCTCCACCGCCACCTCCACGCTCACCGGTACCACACGCCGACCAGCTCCTTCGGCGCCAGCGAGCACTGGCACAGCGCCGAGTCGTCGTTTCGCGAATCCGGGTGTGTGGCGCAGATGCATAGGCATGCGGAGAGTCTATCCCGCCACGCGCGGTCCGAACCGGCAGCAGCAGCGAACGCCCACACGACGCACGCGGGCCTCGGGAAGGGTCTACCCACCACCGCCCTCCGCGCGGGCACGGCAGATTTGCGGAGCGTCTCGGACGCGACGATCACGCCCGCCAGCGCGCGCATATCCGCGGCGAGCTCGGCCGCCTCTTCCACCGACCGCCTCCACGCCCCGTCCGAGGCCGACTCGCCGTATGCCGCGAAAGCAAACGGGTTCCTCGAGTGGTAGGGCAGCGTGCGCAGTGCGCACGGGTGGGGGAGTACGAAGGCCGCGTCGACGTCGGCGCTGGTCGACGCGGGTGTGGGTGCGGACGGCAATAGGAGGTCCCTGCCGCCGCTCGATACCTGTTCTGGGGAAGCGGCGGGCGACGCAGGGCCCTCGAGCAGCGCGCTCTCCCCCCTGCCATACCCGCAGCACTTCCCGTGAGGCGCGCGGGTGCTGGGGAGTTTCCAGACCGCCACGTTGTCTGGGTCTGGCTCAAACGCGACGGGTGATGAACCTGATGATCGGGCCAGCGGCGCGTGGGGGAGCTTCCCCAAACTGCGGCGCCGAAGTCGACCACGGCGGTGGTGGGGCGGAGTGTTAAGAGTTTAAGGTTAGGTGAGTGTGCGACGGATCTGGCGTCCCCGGTGGAGGCGGTGTTCCCTGCGCGCGCCAACGGTGTTGTCCCCGACGGAACGCCGGATCCCAACGCGAGTGCGAGTGCGAATACGAGTGCGAGGACCAGTGCGAGGACGAGGACGAGTCGCTCCACGGTGAACAGCGGCTCACCTCCACCTCCGCCCCCTCCAGCTCCAACCAGCCGAAATGGCTCGCCGAGCCCGACATCCCGTCCTCCGCCGTCGGCGCCGCGCACTTCCGCGTCTCCGCGCGCACGGGCGAGGGCGTGCAGGACGTGTTTGGGTGGGTCGCGCGGCGGCTGGTGGAGCCGGCCCAGAATCTTAGCGCGACTGAAAATGAAGAGGGGCTGAGGGACGGGGAAGAAGGTGAGATGGGGGTGGGGCGGGAGGAGTGGGCGGGGCGGGAGGAGTGGGAGAGTTCGCATTCGCATTCTCGGGCGAAGGGCGGACGGGGACGGGGGTGGGGCGGCGTGAGTCTCGCTGGGGCGAGCGGTGGCGGTGGGGCGGAGGCGCGGTTGCGGGGCGTGGGCGGCAAGAAGGAGGGGGGGAGGTGCTGCTGATAAACTAGGTTGGGTGATGGATGGATCTGTGGGTTGAGCGTTGAGGGAATTTAATCGCGGGTTTATTTACTTATTTATGGATATGTTTATACCGGGAGGAATGCAATATATATACGACGTTCAAACTTTTGCTCCTCTCTTCTCTTCTCTTCTCAACTTTCCCTGCTTTTACTTAAAACTAGTGTGGGCGGTTCAGCCGAGAACCCTGTTTGAGAGGGCTCGGTACGCCCTAAATAATCGGGCGTGGTGTTGGACACCGCGGGCATCCTTTGACAGCTGCAGGCTGAACGAGCACGAAGATAAGGTCCGCAAAACGGGGTTCGATTCCCCGCGCCCGAATGTGTGGGCAGTTCAGACTGGTTTTTTTCTTTTTGGCGCATGCGCAAGTGGCTGAATTTTCGTCGCTGGATAACGTAGGTCTGAACGCACAAAATAACTCGGGCGTGGTGTTGGACACCACTGGTGTTCTGTATTTGGGGATGATGGAATTGATTAGGCCCGCATACGGGATTCGATTCCCCGCGTCCGAATGCGTAGTGTATTCTCCAGCCTTTTTGGTCTGGCCGCTGCGCAGATGGACATGAGTTGGATATCGATAGCGTAGGTCTGAGCCCACCAATGACTCGGGCGTGGAGTTGGACACTGCGGGCGTTCTGTGTATTGTGTGAAATGCATAGGCCCGAAAACAGGGTTCAATCCCCCGCGTCCGAGTGTCATTGAGAAGCTCCGGTTTTTTGGATGTTTGGGGTTCCACGCACGCATGCCCATGCCCAAATGGTTGAGCTGGACTTTCGTAGCTGGATCACGGAGTTCGGGGCGGAGTGGATGAGTCGGGCGTGGTGTTGGACACCTCGGGCATTCTGTATTCAAGACCAGACGAGTGTGATACGCCCGCAGACGGGGTTCGATTCCCTGCGTCCGAATGTGGTACGAATGGCGCTCAGCTTTTTGGCCTCCATACAGGTGAACCAACCTCCCTGGATGACGTATGTAGGTATGAACGCACTGGAGGACTCGGGTGTGGTGTTGGACACCTCGGGCGTTCTGTGTTTGGGGATGGCAAGTGCAACAGGCCGGCAGACGGGGTTCGATATCCCGCGTCCGAATATTATATGAATGGCGTTAAACTTTTTGGCCTCCACACAGGTGAACCGACTTGGATTTCTCATCGCCGGATCACGTAGTTTTGAGCTTAGAGATTAACTCGCGCGTGGTGTTGGACACCTCGGGTGTTCTTTGAGGCTGCATAGTACTATAACAAGGACCCGAAACCGGGGTTCGATTCCCCGCGTCCGAATTATTCAGGGTGAGCAGGTTTTTTTTTCTGTTTCGCGCCAAATACACCTGAGATGGGCTAGATTTCGTCGCTGGATCGCATAGTGCCGAACCTACAAGGCGTACACCCGTCAGGGCCATAATTGCGGAGTGCCGGCCTTTTCTGTACGCCTCAGCTAATGCTGAATAAGGTAGTTCTGGACGTACCAAAAAACTCGGGTGTTGTGTTGGACACCTCGGACGCTTGGTATCGGTGCTGGGAAGGAATACAACAGGCCCGCAAACGGGTTCGATTCCCTGCGTCCGAATAATCAATCTACGTTTTTCTTTTCCTTGGCGCAAGCGCGAATAGCTGAGCTGAATTTCCGTCACTGCATCACGGAGTTCTGGATATACAAAAGAGCTCGGGCGTGGTGTTGGACACCTCGGTCATTCTGTGTTGACGACGAAACGAGTGTGATGGGCCCGCAGACGGGGTTCGATTCCCCGCGTACGAATAAACCCAGCGGTCGACCTTTGATTTTATTTTTCGCACCAGCGCAGATACATCTGAGCTAGATTTTCACGGCGTAGTTCTGAGATTGCAGAATTACTCGGGCGTGGTATTGGACACCGCGGGCGTTCTGTGAAGGGTGAGGAGCCCAATAGGCCCGCAAACGGCATTCGATTCCCCGCGTCCGAATACGTGGGCCATCAGAGTGGTTTTTTCCTGGACCTGAGCTGAATTTTCGCGCTAGATCACAAATTTTGGGACCTACCAAACAACACGGGCGTGGTTTTGAATACCGCGGGGTTTTGTGGATCCAGAGCCACACAATAGGCCCGCACACGGGGTTCGATTTCCCGCGTCCGAATGACCAATTTACGATTGCACTTTTTCTTTTCTTTTGCCGGAAGCACAATGGCTGAGCTGGATTTTCGCGCTGGATCGCAGAGATCTGGAGGCACAGAATGACTCGGGCGTGGTGTTGGACACTACGGGTGTTCTGTGGGATAGATCGTGAACGTAATACGCCCGCAGACGGGGTTTGATTCCCCGCGTCCGACTAGGTAACACGACTTGATACGTTCTTTTTGGTGCAAGCGCAAATACATTTGAATTTGCCTGAATTTTCGCGCTGGATTACGAAGTTCTAAATTTATACACAAATAAATCGGGCGTGGTGTTGGATACCACGGGCGTTATATGGAGCCAGAACCACACAATAGGCCCGCACACGGGGTTCGATTCCCCGCGTCCGAATAACCAATTTACGAATGCGCTTTTTTCTTTTCTTTTGCCGCAAGCACAGTAGCTGAGCTGGATTTTCGCACTGGGCCGCAGAGTTCTGGAGGAGGGATGACGAAAAGGGTGCGAGTGCGACTCAGCCACTCGCACCGTCACCAGATTGACAGTGCGACTCAGCGCCATCAGTGCGACGGGGACCATGCAACAGTGCGACTCAGCATCAAACAGTGCGACTCGCGTAGTTCGCTTATAGAAGGCCATCACTGTTCCGCCATCGATCATTAGGCGGGAGCTAGCGGCCGGGCGATTTCTTTCTCTTATTTTCCCAATGTTTCCCCTGACACGTCTCGCGTCCCGCTGCACCCGTAACTCGCATCTCCGAGATCACTGAGTACCCGCGATCCGAATATGCGCTTCCCTTCTCGCCTTCATCCCATCACCGCCGCCGCTCGCCATCGTATCCTCGTTTGATACCATTCCCGTTGCCCTTGAATTAGTGCCGGGGTTTAAATGCTGTATAATACGGCCATTTTACACAAAAAATATTAGAGAGCTTGCGCAGAGCCACCAGCCACTTGGTGGCTACTGGTGGCTAAATTGGCATGCGCAAATCAATGGCTCCACTTTTGATGGCTCCACTTTTGGTGGCTCCATTGGCAGCGTGTGAGCAATGATGCACCTTTTTCAGCAGTACCAACATGTCGTTCATGGATCATCCTGAATGGTGTTGAGCTCAATCTGACGACTCGGGCAAAGTTGCGATGTTTCTGGGAGTTCATCCCACACACCAGAGACTGCTTTAAGAACGGCAGCGAAGTAAATTCTATACTCTGAGATGGCTTTCTCCATAATGATGAATAGTAAGGTGTAAAAACATCCCTATTAGCTATACACATCGACCTCATGTATCAAATTCCATCAGCTGCCATGTTTTTGAAGCCACTGGTGTGTGCATGCCTGCCGAGCCACCCGGTGGCTGATGCGCAAGCTCTCTATTATTCCATGAAACATGGACCCCAGTACACCGTATATTTAATGTGTATTAAATGTAATAACTGTTCAAGCTCATAAGTCCCAACTCCCGGACGACTGAGTGGAGTAAGAGGATGGCATGACCTGTATATACACAAGCTTTGCTGTTCGTTCGGTATTGACGCGATAATCGGTTCCACTTTTTCTGATTTAGGTTTCCTGCAGTGCCGTCTCCTGCTGTCTACCGTACAAGTGGCTACGAGTGACGATGTCTCAAAGTTTTGGACATTCTACCTCCAAGGACTTCGCAGGAAGCAACTGACATCTGATGCTCTGGGAATCCCCGAATCTCGTCTTTATCCGCGTTTCTCTTAGTCTCTTTCCCTTGCAATTTTAAAATCTCGGTCTACTATGCAGGCAGGTCTATCATGGTCAACACATACACCAGCCAAAAACTCTGTTTCCTCCAATACTCTGTCTGGTTCTTGTTAATGATATCTCTGGCCAACTACATATCCCTTCCGCTGTCCAACATAAACATCTGTCAACCCAATCCCTGCTGACTCCGCTGGAATTTCAATAAAACCTTCCTCTGGCATCTTGATCACACACAAACTGGCCTTATATATTTATGTTCAAGTACTCCACTCGATGTTTCCTGGATTTGACTTGGATTCGATCCTAGGTATACCCAAAATATGCTGCAGCATACATACATAAGTACATCTTGGCATACACCTACCCGCTCCTTGTACAGAGGTTTGCATTGGATTGGTAATGATATGCGTACATGAGAGCCGGCTGGATGACCCAACTCCCCAAAATGTCTGCCTGCCGCTTTCTTTCTACCTGTGAAGTCAAACTGCTCACTTACCACGTTCAAGTTTAAATAAAACGTGTAATTCAGTCTGCTCAAATCTCATTGCCCAAGTAGGATTATCCCCAAACTCGCAAACGGCTCATGACCAACCAACTCACAAGTTACCACCAAGAAAGTCCAAAATTCCCTCGGGTAGTCGCTACATTTACAGTGAAGACGTCACCTCCACACATTGATTGATCCTCCCATGTGCCTTGAGTTGAATAATATCGTTAAACGAATACCATAAGGTTAAAACTTCCAGCTTCCGTGCCGCACAGGTTCGAATCAGTGCACAAGATTACGGGCCTTCCTAAAAAATCTCGCGCCATGAATGAGTCATATTTATAGCATGTTGAAGTCCTGCTAAGATGTGGACGGTGCTCGTAAATTGTACCGGCAGTTCAAGTCCTCCGATTGAGGCCTTGCATGGTATTCAACTTTCTTGCAGAATAGCCATCCATTATATATCCGGCGAACTCAACTTAACTCCGGATGCTTATTTATTTATATACCAAGTGTGCTACCTAGAATACATGCCCAGGTTGACCTTGACATTTCACAGCAACACCCAGTTGTGTGATGGACTCAAAATAATTCACTGTTTATATGCTACGGCAAGTGAACGGCACAGCTGTTCGTATCACTTCGTCATGTGTTCCGCTTGTCACCGTGACCATCGACAGCTTGGAGCGAGTCGCACTCACACCCCTCGAGTCGCACTGCTGACGGCCTTGTCAGTGCGACTCCTGGGCCGACAGTGCGACTGGACGAGTCGTACTCGCACCCTCCCCGTATATACTCGTTCTGGAGGCACAGAATAACTCGGGTGTGGTGTTGGACTGCGGGCTTTCTGTGGGATAGATCGTGAAAGTAATACGCCCGTAAGACGGGGAATGATTCACCGCATCCGACTAGGTAAGACACTCCGCCAAATTGATTTTTTGGGGCTTGAAGACCAAAGATGTTCCTGATATTTTCGGTTCCAGCCACAGTATAATTGCTCTTGAGACTGAGGGTGTTTGCTGCAGTTTTTTGCTGACCAAGACCGGAAGTATGAGGTGCCCTCCCTATACCCTCCAATTCAGAGCGACTGAGACTGCTGCTGATACTGTCGGATCACCCGGACCGGGGAGGGCCACCCCGGGCCGTCGACTTGTCCCAAAACCTGGGTTTTGCCTATAGCTGATGACCGATGCTGATGGGGTTTGCCAGTGCTGATAAGCAGCTCAATTGAGAAGATCATCAGTTATAAGCAAGGATATTCAAAGTGGGTGGGTCATAAGCGAGTATCATCGCGTGTAGGCAGAGCTATTTTGCAATCCTGTATTTGACAGAGAATCAACATTGAACAGTCCCACCGTGTCTACTTTTGACTTGACTGGCTTTCAACAACTTCATTTTCTGGGTTTCCAAAGCTGTGGAGCTCGTGTAAAGCCTCCAATCTGTGGCCCGAGCAAGGTACATAACTCAAGTGATGTCATTCCGAAATTTATTTATGTATGTATGTGTGCCTGCCCAACATGACTTGAGATCTACATTTGCCATTTGCTGATGTTGACTTTGCTGACTTAATTCTAGCTACTTAC